ATAATAACATATTAAACTTAGCTATTTTTTTCTTTCCTCTTATAAATAAAGCTTCCGCCTCAGTATTGTTTAAAATACTTCCTATTTTTTGAAAAGCTATTCAGATATATATATATATATATATTTATTTGCGAAAAGAATGCTTTTCGATTTACATTTATTTCTCATATTTTCTTTTCTACTTTCCTATATTATAAAAATTCATATTATTAAATTTGGTTTTATTTGTATTTTAGGAAGAAACTTACCTTATGTTTTTTTTGTTCCTTTAAGCCTTTAGAAATTAGTCTTTTTTATCTTCAGAACAAGATATTCTTACATGTAAATTTCTTTTGTTGCTTACTATTAGTGGTCTTCCTAAGTGTGTCTTTCCTTGAGATAAATATTTACAAATATCAACATTAACCTTTTTGTTTCATAAAAAATTATGCTTACACTTTTTCTTGTCATTTCCGTCAAAAATGAATTTTTCAGGTTTTTAAAAACTTCGCCTTAGAAAACTTCAATCTTTTATTTTACTCAAAAATAGTCCCAAATATATTTACTTTTTCCTCTTACTTCATTAAGAAATATTTCTTTATATGTTTGTTTTATCATATTTTCCAAACAGGACGAAATCTTCCTTCCCGTTACAGTGTATATTGAGGACGTCAATGATCACGCCCCCCTGTTTCAAAACACCCCCTATCACCTGGCAGTAGACGAGGTAACTTTCAGTAGAGCCGACCAGAATAAAAATAAACCTTACATGGAACATTACAGTACTTACTGGAAAAAAATACTTAATTATAAGTTTTTAATATGGATAAAAAACTAATATTAAGTACCTTTTATCGAGAGTATTCTTTTGTTTATATTTATAGAAGTTTTTTTACGCTGACTTGTATTCGTCCCGCACACACAAAAAAATATTGTTTTGTGTTATTATTCATAGGTAACATTTTGGATTGATAATTATTGTTTAAGACTCATAACGTACGTAAATTAATACGCAGAATTATACACGGACTTTTCTCTACTTTAAAATATTTTTATTACCTCGCAAATAAAAATATTTTAACGTACAGAAAATCCGTGTATAATTCTATATTTAGTACTGATATTTTTGGAGATGCACTTCTTTGATACTGAAATGTTAAATACTGATTTATTACAGTTGACTCCTGTGGGTCTCACCATCTTCCGAGGAATCCATGCTATCGACCGTGACAAGCCCAACACTGCGAACTCTGACGTCACATATTCGATTGTAGTAAGTTGACCTAGATAGTCGGTACTCACGAGATTTTTGACCTTCCTTTTTAATGTCATCCATTTGAAGAAGTTTGTTAAAATTATTTTTTCTTGACACTGACCAAGAGTGATAGTAGTATCTTAAAGTCATGTTACTCATTTTTATAAACATTTACATTTTATTTTTGAACATGATCATTACGTGTAACGATGCTGTAATGTTTACTCTTGCGGGGCGGATTATTGTGAATTATTTGGTGAAAGATTCTGTAAGGTCCAGTCTACTTAATGACAACGTAAGCGGTTTTTTTTTAATTGTTCACGAACTAACGATGGACTTACTTGACAAATAACGCTGAACATTCACTGACTTGCTAACTTCTCCTACAGTACCTACGGTACTTCTCGTATTTCTAGCACTTCGTTCATACACAAACTCAGTATTCAAGAAATTAAAAAAAAGACAAACATGATTAAAGAACGACGTAGACTGTAAATAAACATAAGAAAATCAAGCATAAAACACAGATCAACACAGTTTCCTCGTGTCTAGCAGTTAAGCCACGCGCTTATCACCTGACGTTAAAACTCCCCGTAGCCAAAACGAACGGTACGAACGTCTAAATTAAAAATATTGCCTTCAACAATAATATTATTCTAAGAACACGGCAACAACAGAACATTGTTACTTTTGTAGAATATTGACTAGCTGGCTTCTCGGCTCTTATAATTAATGACAATAAAGCATCATTAAAATATTAAAAGCGGGTAATTACACGATTTTATTTCTAATATAATTGCCTTTAGTTTTATTGCTACAGAATTTGTTATTAAGCCTAATGACCCCGTAGCAGAACGGAAGTAATTATGTTATCCTATTAAAAATAATGTTTGTTTTGACCGAATACGTTCGAAATTATTCACTTTTCGTGACCTCTTTTACAAGGCCAGTTTGAATGAAAGTAATAAATTTTACAGAAGAAGTTAAAGAAGGAAGTATTACAAGAAACAGAGTAAATTACATCTTATTTTTACGTGTGATTGTTTTAGCTGGTAAATTAATGGTTCGAACAAATAAATTAAGTTAGACAAAATTTATAATTTGGATAAATCTAAAAGTTTTCTAAACATTTATATGAAATTGTTTTAATGCACATAATGAACGATTAAGTTACTCTTAATAAAGAAAAATCATAAAAATTTGATAAACACAAACATCTGTTTGTTAGGCTAAAAATCTCTAGTGTAATTTCGGGATGTTGTAATATGAAGGATTTTTATCTATGAAACAGGGAGGAAATGAAGATAACGCTTTCGTTCTCTCGGATCCAATAGAGGGCATTCTTGTCGTGAACAAGCCTCTGGACTTTGATCACGGAGTTCGAGAGTTTAAACTACAAATTCAGGCTACAGTAAGTATTGTTCTCTGGTGGAACTGGGTTGCAAAATCGCTTACTGGTGCTTTATGTTTTTATGATGAAACCGTGCGTAATGAGAACTGAATAGAGAAAATATTTTATTGTTCTGTAATATTTCACCAACCTTTCGGGGAAAACTGAAGGTAGATTTTCTAATGTGACAAAGAGCCTTAATGATACGAACGCAATAGGCCTAATGTGTTACGAACAGTAGCACTTCTAAAAACTCATGTAATTAATAAATTCAAAATATAATTATCAATCAACAAACTTAAAAGTGTGTATGATAATCAGTTTCATACAATTGAATATATAAAAACATTTGTTTGTAATATGTTACTGTCAGCTGTGATATGGTACTGTCAGTTGTGATATGATACTGTCAGCTGTGATATGGTACTGTCAGATGTAATATGGTACTATAAGTTGTAATATGGTACTGTCAGCTGTAATGTGATGCTGTCAGCTGTAAGATCTTACTGTCAGTTGTAATACGGTATTGCCGGCTGTAATATGGTACTGTCAGCTGTAATGTGATGCTGTCAGCTGTAAGATCTTACTGTCAGTTGTAATACGGTATTGCCGGCTGTAATATGGTACTGTCAGCTGTAATGTGATGCTGTCAGCTGTAAGATCTTACTG